CTTTGTTCTTAAATGTGAGAAATCCAAGTCTCCTGGCTGCCTTTGTCTTCTCTGTTAACTCAGGCCTGCAGGGGCAACCCAGACCAAAAATGGCGGACCCCCGGGGTGATCAGGCCTGGGACATAGAATATGCAAGATCCTGTGAGATCTGTTTGCTGGAGGTTGTTGTTAACTTGGAATTTAAAAGCACAGGCAGGAAATTTTTGGAACCTGTAGCCCTTTCATATGTTAAAGACCACAACCTTGCCCAGAATTTCAGCAGGAGTTCCGTCCCCACCTTTGTAAGTTGCCTACATCTTTTGATCTTTTCTGCCAGACTGTGAATCCACAAACTAAGTCTGTTTTCTCAATAAAAATCTGCTTGGGTATGGACACAGGGTGCCCTCCAGGAGAGAGAGTGGCCAAAGGCACTCCCCACATGAGAAGTGGCCCTTCTGTTCCTATTCCCCCATGGGACCTGATTGTCTCTGTGCATGTTTTTCTCATGTTTCAACAAGCATCCACAGCTGAAATGGATACTGCTGAACGGTACCATCCACAGCACAACATGATCAAGAGGTATGGATTCCAGAAATATAAGTTAGGTTTAACATTCCAAACTAAAGCAACATATTTCACTATAGTAACAAAATTTTTAAAAAGGGGGAAACTACATGATCATCTCAATAAATGCAGAAAATTTATTTGAAAAATTCAAATATCCACCTGATAAAAACTCTCAGCTAACTAGAAATAGAGGGATTATTTTCAACTTATTAGAAAGAAAACAAAAACAAACAACTCACACCTAACATCATACCTACTAGTAAAAAACTGCATGTTTTCCCCCTAAGATTAGAAACAAGAGAAGAATGTCCATCTTACCACTGCTGTTCAACACTGCACCAGAGTTTCTAGACAGGATGATTAAGCAAGGGACAAAATAAAAGGCATCGAGATTATAAAAGGGAAATAAACTGTCTGTATTTGTAAACAAAATTACTGTTGTGTGTGATATTCCTATACAGTGACATTCCCACATATATTTGAAGTGCCATCCTTTGCCTGATACCCCTACTCTGTGGTCAAGTTCCTGGACTAATTCTATCTATTGTGCGCCCTGCAGGCGTCATATGCTGTGTGACTCACACTAGCACCAGCTAACTTCTTGCTCACTGGGCTTGTGTTTCCTCCTATTTGTCATCTTATTTAATGACATCATTGCCCACTGTTCTCTTTGGCTGGACACTGGATTTCTCTTTTAACTTGTGTCTCACTAAATCCCTCAGTTTCTATCCATTTTTCTAATCTGGCCACATCTTTATATCTTTACTGTCATTACCTATTAAAATTTAAGAAACACAAATCTTTCAGTCCAGGAATCCTACACCTAAGGATCTATTGCATATAAGTAAAAGCATCAACATGTAAGAATATGATAACATAAGTTGCTGTGGTGTTCTTCCTATTACACTCATGGTCTTTCTGCTTCACCCAAGGGTCAAGGGTCAAACCAATAGAAAAATGTTATGGCAGCTTGCAGCCCTAATAGCCCACTGGCCCTGCTCCAGAAGACGTGCAGGTTGAGGACTCATTCCCATGCCACCGGAAATGTTGACTGTGGACACTTGCAGTCCCCAAGACAAAGGAATTGTCTGAGGCAGCCTGCATTGTGTGACAAACTGAACAATCTTGCTCCATTCAGGATGACTCCAAAGGGCCATCCCAGATTCAAGGCTTTCAGTGGTGTTAGCCAACATTTCTTGTGTTGCAACTGCATCTCAGTTTAACTTCTGCTCTTAAGTGTTGAAGTCTCAACTTCAGGAAATCTGCTCTGCTTGATTCCCCGAAACATTTAACAGGTGTGGTACCTGAGTATACTTCCCAGTAACTCCCCACATACAAATCTCTGCCTCAGTATCTCCTTCCCAGAAAATCCAAATTACTGCTATGGTAATTGTTTATGTATCATTTGTTTTGTGCTGGGAACACTGTTAAGGGCTTTACATCTCTAAATTCATTTAATCCTTACAAAATCCTTATGTACTAGGAAACATTATTATCTTTAAGATGAGAAAGCTGTTTAGTGGTTGAACCAGGATTTAAAATCAGAATCCTGAGCCCATTTCATTAACCAAAACATCTCCTTTGTAATATTAAATATATTAATAATTGTTTTTAAAATTAAAAAATATAAATAAAACATAATAAGATGAATATAGAGGTCTGAAAGACACCATAACATATCTGAGATAATGAGAGAAACCCAGAAATTACAGATACTGCAAAGTAGACAGAAAGAAGTTTGGAGATGGCTTTCATCTTAGTTCAGGAAAAGTTTTCTGACTCTGAGTTATTGCATTCCATGGTTTCCTGTCCAAGGAATCCAAAAATGTTTACTCTGCCTAGACACAAAGGCAATTTTGACAAATAATTGCCTATACCTTATAAGTGATATTGGACTGCCTGATTTGGTATATCAGTCCATTTCTTTTGGTGTCAAGAGACTGGCTGCTTTCCTAGATGCCTGCCTACCTGATTAAACTGCTTTAGGTTTTCCAGATGAGGAACAAAGTTTCTCTAAAACATCTTGGGCTTGGGGACTTCCAGTCAAGATGGAGGCATAGGTAGATACATTTTACCTCCTCTCACAACGGAAAGAAGGACAATCACAAATTCAAAAACAAAAAACAACCAGAAGTGCCAAAAAATTGAACTGTATGGAAGCCTAACAACCAAAGCGCTAAAGAAGAAACATTCACCCAGACTGGTAGCAGGGATGGAGACAGAAAGCTGGGATGGAGAGGATGCACAGCAAGGCAGCAGCTGGCAGTCCCACATTTGCATGAGGATAAACTGAGAGGAACAACTGGGGAGCAAGACAGATCATGCAACTCAGGGTTCCAACATAGAAAACTAAAGCCTCAAAACCTCTGACTATAAAAACCTATGGGAACTGCAGTGGTGGCAGAAACTCCCAGCCTCACAGGAGAGTTCATTGGAAAACCCCACAGCATCCTAGAACATACATAAACCCACCTACTGGGGAATCAGCACCAGAAGGGCCAAATTTGCTTGTGGGTAGCAGGGGAAGTGACTGAAAGCCAGCCAAGAGTCAAGCAAGTGGCATTGTTCCCTCTAGGACCCCTCCCCCACGGACAGCACCATGATGCAGCAGCCTGGGTTGCCCCATCCTGGCAAATACCTAAGGCTCCACCCCTTACAACGTAACAGGTGAACTGAGACAAAGAAATATGCCCAAATGTAAGAACAGAGGGAAATTCCAGGAAAAGAACTAAGCGACAAGGAGATAGGAAACCTGTCAAATGCAGAGTTCAAAATACTGGGTATCAGGATGCTCACAGAAATGGTTGTGTATGGTTGCAAAATAGAGGAAAAAGGGAAGGCTATGAAAAGTGAAATAAAGAAAAATATACAGGAAATCAACAGTGAAGGGAAGGAAACCAGGACTCAAATTAACAATTTGAAACAGAAGCAAGAAATAAACATTCAATCAGAACAGAATGAAGAAATAAGAACTCAAAAAAAATGAAGAGAGGCTTCAGAACCTCTGGGACAACTTTAAACATTCCAACATCTGAGTCATAGGGGTGCCAGAAGAAGAAGAGGAAGAGCAAGAAGTTTAAAACTTGCTTGAAAACACAGTGAAAGAGAACTTCCCTGATCTGGCTAAGGAAATAGACTTCCAGGAAGTCCAGGAAGCTCAGAGAGTCCCAAAGAAATTGGACCCAAGGAGGAATACACCAAGGCACATCATCGTTAAGCTACCCAAGATTAAAGATAAGGAGAGAATCTTCAAAGCAGCAGGAAAAAAGGAGACAGTTACCTACAAAGGAGCTCCCATAAGACTGTCAACTGCAAAAGACATATTGCAGGAAAGAAAGGGCTGGAAAGAAGTATTTGAAGTCATGAAAGGCAAGGACCTACACCCAAGATTATTCTATCCAGCAAAGCTATAATTTAGAATGGAAGGGCAGATAAAGTGCTTCCCAGAGATGGTAAAGGTAAAGGAGTTCATCATCACTAAGCCCTTATAATATGAAATGTTAAAGGGACTTATCTAAGAAAAAGACCATAACTATGAACAGTAAAATTACAATGAGCATACAACACAACTATCAGCAACTGATCCTAAACAAAAAACAAAACAAAACAAAACAAAACAAAAAAAGCTAAAACAAAAACTAACTAAGCAAACAACTAGGACAGGAAGAGAATCCTAGAAATGGAGATCACATGAGGGTTATCAGCAGGGAGGGGTGAGGGGAAGAATTGGGGAAAAGGTACAGGGAATGAGAAGCATAATTGGTAGGTACAAAATAGACAGGGGAAGGTTAAGGATAGTATAGGAAATGGAGAAGCCAAAGAATTTGTATGTATGATCCATGGACATGAACTAAGGGTGGGAGGGATGCTGGTGGGAGGAGGAGTGCTGGGTGTAGGGGAATAAAGGGGAGAAAAAAATAAGACAACTATAATAGCATAATCAATAAAATATACTTTAAAAAACATCCTGGGTTTTGAATGGTCATTCCCTTTTGTGATGCTGCTAGCTGACTACTTATTTCAGCGGTCTGAATCCCTTCTACTCTTCACTGATCCCTACCTATCAACTAGTCTTGGAACATGTAATTCTGTCTCTAAAATTAGGCCTCTTAAGTCTTGCACATTTAACTTCTTTCGAGGCCTCTAGCTATCCATGTATCTGATAGTTCTCTCTATATGTGATATCGTATCTCCCTTTATATTTGATAGCTTTTCCAGGACCTTCCACTGTAGCAAACCCCAGGTCAAGGGTCAGTCCCACAGATGATTCCATGGCAGTTGGCAGCTCAGACAGCCGTGTGGCCCAGATAGAAGCATGGGGAGGAGTGGGAGTTATCTTCTCTTTTACATAGGCTACTTCAGCTCCTGCCACTGCCAGTGCCTTAGCAATCACTGAAAGTCTAGATTTCCCTTCTTCCTGTGACTACGCAAATCAAAGAAAGGACATGGGAGATATGGGTGGTGGGTGGTCTCAGCTTGGCATCTCCACTCCAGTGGTGCAGCTATCAACCAGGAACATCCAGGCCCTCAACATGCTCTTCTCCTCCTGGGCCTTAGTCTTCTTATCATTCGGAATTATGGTCGATGACTGGGTTACACTGAATTTTGGAACAAAAACAAATATGCAAAGCCACAGTCCATGGATACACACCACTATTTGGCCAAAAGGTAAGAGCCATACTGTGGAAAGATGGATGGGGAGGGAGGGCTCATCTTTCCTTCCGTTTGCCTTACCAGCTGACTCATTATTCTCTGGTGCAGTTTCCTCAGGTTGCAGTGTGCCCACTTCCATAATCAGCACAGCCAACCAAGGCAGAATCCAAAACCCCACCATTTCTGTTTTGGTGAAAAGTTTAGATGTTTGCAGACTTACTTGCTGGACAGTTGAGAAGCCTTGGCAGGAGGGTGACCAGCACAGCAGGAACATAAGGGTATAAAAGAAAGAGAACTGCCAACAAGAAAAGCAGGTTATATCGGCATCAGAGATGAACAGGATAAATTGAGGAATGAATTCTGATAAAAGGAAAAAGGAGAAAGAAGCTTACAGAGATATCAAGACAGAGAATGGTTTCTTTTGGCCCTCTCTCCCATTCAGCTTATGGTTCTCTGCTTCGTTATTTCTGCCCCATTTCTCTTCATTGTTTAATCAAATATTTCTCCCCATTTTCATTTTTACTTAGAGATTTGTGGCCCTTGGCCCTTGGGTGGAAATGAGCCTACAAGAAACATCTGACCTCTCAATATAGCTTCTGCTTCCCAACAGATGACCTGAAAGTGATCAGGATCATGATGATTTTGGTGATCAGCTTTTCCTTCTTCCATAACTTGTTCCTGGGATTGGAATTCACCTTTATGATTCCTCAAACTAAATGTATCTTCCTCATCACTGTGTTCCTCAGTTTCTTCACAGGTAACATCCTAGCTCCCCTAACATGAGCTTGAAGGTAAATTTGGTTTGTGGTCCAGCCTGTGGTTTTTGACTCATGTCACCTTCTCAGATTTCTGGCTCAGATATACAGCTTCTGAGTTGGATCAACCACTGAAGTGGGACTGGTTCTTGGATAAGGTGCCTTTGTAGGTTGTGGAGGCTTAGAGTTATGCATATCTGGGATTAAGATGAATGAATGGAAGAGTTGAGGTTCCCCAGAAGGGGCTTTTTCTCCTTTTGTTTGGACTTTAGGCATCCTTCTGCTCTGTGCACTCCTGCTGTATCACCTGAAGCTAAGGCAAGGGCAATCCGTGTACTATTCTGGGTACAAAATCACCTGGATCATTTCCACTGCCTACTTAAGTGTTTTCTTCCTTTTTGCCTCTGGTGAGTGTCTTCAGGGCCTTTGATGGGTTATAAGAACAAATTCACACCTGATAGAAGGGAAAGTGAAAGGATAGGAAAGAATGAAGTAAAAGGTACCAACCCTTGGATGTTAAAGGGCTAGAGTTCAACTGGACTCACTCCCTGGTGACAATTCTTGTAAGGAGAGAGCTGGATATTAGGACTGCATGAGTGGTTCAGTGTGCTTGCCTCAGAGGACAGCTCCTTATTTCTGCCTTTTCTATTGTCTTTCACTCCCTCCCCAGTTCTAGGAAGAGATAACCATCAAAGTCAAGACTAAGGAGAGGGCTAATATGGAATGCTCACTCCTGTGGAGAGGGGCAGTAACCCTGGGTAGGCAGTGTAGTGCCAAGGCAGCTTTAGATCAGAGCAGAGCAATATCTAATATTAAATGTCCAGGCACCAACACCAGAGACTGTTCTTTAAAAAAGAAAGGTTTAAACTTTTATTTAGAAATTTCTAACATGTGAGCATGTCCTTTTTCAAAAAGAATCCTCAATTTTGTTTAGTTAAGAAGCATTTAAGCTATTCTGCATACTTTGGTCTCTTACACTAAAGCACCCACATTCCAAATGGCTTGGGAGACAGTTCAAAAGAAATCCACTGGACTTGGGGTCAGGGACTCCCTGCCAACACAGAGGGATATGTTTTTGTGACTATTGTTCATTCATTGCCCTCCCCTGCCTTCTCTTTTCCCCAGGAATCCTGTGTCTTCTACAGTACAAGCAATCCATGAATTCTGCCAAAGAAAGTCATGATACACAGCAATCTGGGAGCTCTATTGAAGTGATTTCATTGCAAAAACTCACTGTAATGCCTCATAGTATTGTCCACGTACACTCCAAAAACTTAGACCAAGGTTCTCTAAGGAAACCACAAAGCCAAAAACGTCGTGTAACCTGGGCTCTGTGATTTGATACTATATAGCTTGAACATGCTCATCTGAATGAAAACAGTTTCATGTGCATCTCCAGTGGTGTCGTCTGTGTGTGGCATTATGCAAATGACTGGTTGGGTCCATAAGTAGGTCCAGAATATGATTTTTTAAAATCCCTGTCTGCTAAACAGTTTCTTCTATTTGTTCTCACCATTTAATCACATTTGTTAAAATATAATAAATGTCTTAAAACTAATATAATAAAATTTAGAGTACTATATAATACCATTCATTTCTTTTGTTTATTTTATTGTACAATATTTCCAACATTCACAAGAAATACAAAATAACATAATAAACACCTGTGTACACATCACCCAACTTTATGAAATGTTAACATTATGCCCTATTTGCTTTATTTTCTTTTGTTTTTTTTTCAATTACAGTTGACATTCAGTATTATTTTATATTAGTTCAGGTATACAGCATAGTGGTTAGACATTTATATAATTTGAAATATTATGAAATATTCCCCATGATAGGTCTTATATAACCACCTGGCACCATACATAGTTATTATAATATTAATAACCATATTCCCTGTGCCATATTTTACATCCCCATGAATATTTTATAACTGCAGAATTGTAGTTCTTTCTTTATTTATTAAGTATATTTTATTAGTTATGCTATTACAGATGTCCCATTTTTTCTCCCCTTTATGCCCTTCCTCCCTGCACCCTCCTTCCACCAGCATTCCCCCGCCCCTTAGTTCATGTTCATGGGTCATACATATAAGTTCTTTGGCTTCTCCATTTCCCATACTATTCTTAACCTCCCCCTGTCTATTTTGTACTTAGCATTTATGCTTCTTATTACCTGTATCTTTTCCCCCATTCTTTCCCCTCCCCCTCCCCACAGATAACCCTCCAGGTAATCTCCATTTCTGTGATTCTCTTCCTGTTCTAGTTGTTTGCTTAGTTTGTTTTTGTTTTAGTTTAGGTTCAGTTGTTGATAGTTGTGAGTTTGTTGTCATTTTACTATTCAGAATTTTTATCTTCTTTTTTTTCTTTGGTAAGTCCCTTTAACATTTCATATAATAAAGGCTTGGTGATGATGAACTCCTTTAACTTGACCTTATCTGGGAAGCACTTTATCTGCCCTTCCATTCTACATGATAACTTTGCTGAATTTCTTTAAAATAGTAAATTTTATACTAAATTTTCTATACTAGATTTTTGTATGGTTATGTGCATTTTATATACCAAAGGTAGAATTTTTCAAACTACATTTATTTCTCCCCACAGAATATGAAAAGTACCTTATCTACTCTACCTCCACCTGATTTAGGTTTTAAATGCTTCATCACAATGTACCACCCCATCTGTACATAAAAATGAGTGTATACCTACATCGCAGCACTTATTTGCCCTGGGAAAATGATGCTTTGTCTGGAAGCCTGAGCCGCGCTTCTTCTCTTCCCTGTTCCTCCAGTGCACACCACAGGGCTTAGACACTGGGTCAGCAAGTGGTGGAAAACTGCCACGGCCCTGCCCTCGCACGCTTGGAATCCGGCCTCAAGTAAATGGAAACACAGGGAACAAAAAACAAAGGGGAGGCGCAGGTCCGAGAGGCTCTGCGTGTGCCCTCTGAGGAGCAGGTGTTCTGGATGGCGCAGATGTGGACACATGGAACAAGTCCAGTGCGCGGAAGCAGCTAGAGGGCACTCCTGGGACGCTGAGGAAAGCCACGTTCAGTGGGCAGAGGTGTCTGCACAGGCCAGTTTGAGGATGAGCGATGCTCAATCCGGCTGCATCCACAGCAGAATAGACAGAACATCGGTTTCTCTGGACAGCAGACTGCAGAGAGGCCCTGAGCCACATGCTTGTGGCCAGGAGGGCGCATATCCTCCCTGCGTCAGGTTGGCCATACTTGCACGGGTAAGCGATGGCCAGGCCGCGGTCCTAGGACATGACTCGGTGCTTCTCAGAGAGTGCAGGAAGTAGAGCTGGGCTACACAGCTGTGAAGGGAGCTAGCTCTGCCTCCCTGGGGAGACCAAGGTCATCAGCGTTTTGGGGACAGGGACCCAGAAGAGCCACATGTCAAAGAAGGACAGGTTGGTCAGGAGGCAGGACATGGGGGTGTGAAGGTGGGGATACACTCTGATCACTGGCAGGGTGAGGAGGGTCCCTACCACTGTGAGTACATAAATCAAGAAGGTTCCAAAGAGAAGGGGGTGTCCAGCGCCAGTGCCTGGGGGAGGTTTGTCTTTTCTCCAGAACTTTGGTCCCTCTCCCTATGAGAATATAAAGAACACTCTCCATGTCCCACCTGCGCCATCTGTGGTAGATTATTCCAGACTTAATCCTGACTTCACTTACTACAAAACTTTACTTATTACATCTTTAGAAAAGATGATGGAGTGACTTCATCATCATCATCATCATTCTCTTCTCACACACAACAAACACAAAAGAGGCTCCCACACATATATACAAAAGGAGGTAGAAGAAATCCTTTGCATTTGTTTATACTGGTGTATCATAAACTACCACAAATTTAGCAGCATAAAGCAATGCGAATTTACTATTTGGAGGTTTTTGAGTCAATGAGTTGGGTCCTCTGTTCAAGGTTTCACCAAGTTGAAACCAACTTGTCACCTGGGTCTGTAATCTCATCTGAAGCTTGGGATCCTCTACCAAGGTTATTGAGGTTGGTTGCACAGTTCAGGTCCTTGCAGTTTTAAGATTAAGGTCCTTGGTTGTTTTGTTTTGTTTTGTTTTGTTTTGTTTTGTTTTGTTTTGTTTCCTGACTGCTGGCAGGGAGCATCACTTTAGGCTTCCAGAGACCACCTTCAAGTCCTAGCCACCTGGTCATCTGATAACATGGCAGTTTACTTCTTCAAAGCTACCAGGAAAATCTCTCTCTAGCCTGCTATGACGGTGACGCTTTATATAACAGAATGTAATCACGAGAGTAACATCCCATTATATTCACAGGTTCTACCCACACTCAAGGGGAACAATTTAACAGGGGGTATATACCAGGGAGTAGGGATCTTAGGGGCTATTTGGAATTCTACTTTCTCCCCAGAGTTCACAGGGAAGTTAAAGAAGCAAGAATTTAATCATTTGTTATGTGAGAGAAACAAGGATCTCTGCTCTTAGCTCAGACAAAATGTGTCCTATCTCCAGGCAGTGTGGCTTGAGCTATATTAAAGTTACATTTTTCAAATAAGAGAATAAATAGCAGAGACAGAATTACCCTAAATACCTACATGAATATCAGAATTAAAAAATGGGACACATAACTGAAATTTTTACTGCATCAACAGAATCCCATCATCAGTATAATATCACATTCAAATTAAATAAACTATGAAAATTTTAGTCACTTGAATCACAAGACAGCCTGAGACATAATGCAGGAGTTCCAGTCTGCACCTGAATTCTCTGCCCGTGCTGCAGTAACTTAGCCCCAAAGTGAGTGTGTGTGTCTGTGTAGTCATGCACCACTGGACGATGAGACCCACTCTAAGAGATCCATCCTTAGGCAATTCTGTCATTGTGCGAACATCATAGCATGCACTTACACAAACCCAGATGGTCTAGCCTACTACACATCTAGGCTGTGTGGTAGAGCCTATTGCTCTGAGGCTACAAACAAGCCTGTACAGCATGCCACTGTCCTGAATACTGTAAATAATTTTAAACAACAGGGAAGTATGTATGCATCTAAACATGTCTAGACATCAAGAGGTACAGTAAAAGTATGGTACAGTAAAAATAAAAGATAAAAAGTGGTGCACCTATATAGGGCACTCACCAAAAATGGAGATGACTCAGGACTGGAAGTCGCTCTGGGGAAGTGACTGAGTGAGTGAAGAGTGAATGTGAAGGCCTAGGACATTATAAGACATTATAACACTGTAGCCTTCATACACGCTGCAAACTTAGGCTACACTAGATGTATAAAACAACATAGATTGAATCAAGCACAAGAGAAAATGATGCAGTCAGAGTAAACACAAAATCTATGAGTATGCCGGCACAACACAGCTTACTGTTTAACAGCAAACTTTTTTCTAAGTAGAGAGTGTGCACTCAAAAAAATTTAAAAATACATAGTAAATACATAAACCACAGGGTAGTAAATACATAGTATAGTAAATACATAAAATATATATTATCATTACCAAGTTTTATGTACATAACTGCATGCTCTGTACTCTTTGTATGAATGGCAGTGTGTGGATTTATTACACCAGCCGCACCCAAATGCAGGAGGAATATGTGGCTGTACATGTTACAAGGCCTAATATATTTTGGGGGGTAGGAATTAGAGAACCAAATGTGGAGGGAAGTGTAACAAACCCAAATGTCTTATCTCTGAATAGAAATTTAAGAGGAAAGCAGGTGGAAATAATAGAATTCTAGCTTTCTAAGAACTGACCTTACATTATGTGAATAATTTCAGTAATACAACTCATCTGTGTTTTGTTTCCTGAATCTTTCGCTTTCTATGTGTTATGATGAGGCACTAGTTTGCAAGTAATTACGCAAAAGCATAGACACACCTGTCATTTTTGATGAGCAAGGGTGGTGCATGTGGAGAGCCAAGCAGGATAATACATGCCAAGGGAGTTGGAAGCAGGCCTCGGGTTCAGCGCAGCTGCCCTAGGCCACAGAAGACTGCCTGATAGATTGTTGTAAGAAAATAATGACTTGGCTGTTTGCTATATGAGTGTACCAAGAAGGAGCAGCAAATGTTCTTAAAAAATAAAATATAACTAGCCTTGCAGTTTTTCTTTCTGACGCTCTGCTTCAAAGCCTACTCAATGCATACATGCTGACTTCACCAATAAACAGTTCCCTTCTCTGCATCCCAGAGAAGGGACTCCACCTGACCCCACTTTGACTCTGTCTCTTTATTTCTCAGTCCCTGGTCCCCTTCTCTCGGGACCTGACCAATCTAGCCACGTCGCTGCAGTTCATTTCTATTCAAAGACCCAAGTAGTTTAAGTTCAGGAAGTGGAAACTATCAGAGCTAGGTACATAAGCCCTTCACTTAAATTAGTGTCTCAGAGGACAGGGTTATTCTTGGGTCTTCAGGTTCCCTTGATGAGCAGAAAAATAATGGGAAGAGACTAACTGAACGTTTTTAATAATCATGCATGTATTTTTCTATGTGTTTGGTATTTGAACTCTCCTGAAGATTTCGTGTCTTTCTGAAATGAGTAATTATACCTAAGAGAGAAGAAGGAGGACTCAGTTTATTGTTTCCACATCACTGATGTGGGTAGACTCACGACTTAGCGTTGTCCAGAATCCATCAACGACCATCACCCGCTTGTACTCTCCGTCTCGATATCATTCTTTCACAAGTTTAAGGCAGTTTAAAACATTTATATTTCCCAACTTTTTTTTGCTTTTTAAAGGTTTAGAGTGTCTTTTTCTAAAGAAATATCTAAGGATACACAATTATTTCCCATTTATATAAGTAATAATTAGATTCCATTGCTATTACAACTTTTATTGCTTTTATAAGTAACACATAATATTTCATAATGTATCTTATTTTATAAATTAGCTTTTCATAAACTTTATTATTAATAAACTTTATTATTAATAAACTTTATTATTATTAAACTTTCTTTTAATATAATGCTCAGTTCTTATTGATATGTGTGAACTTTTATAAATTGACAATACTAATTCAAGTTGCTAATATCAGAATCTATTGTGGGCTTTATCTCACATATTATTGGAGTAAGTGTGGGGAAAGCAATACAACAATATTTATTAAATTTTACACACACACACACACACACACATATATATGTATATATATATGGAGGGACCAAAAAAAGGAATTATCTTCTGGAGAACAGGCCCCTTGTAGCACAGGCTTCCCCTGCAAGGTGAGTGTTCTAGGAACCCATCTGTATCAGTGTACCAGCTGGCATTGTTGTGAGGGGTGGTGTTAAGATTCAGTGAATTTTTTTCGAAGACTATTTCAACACATTTGCCCATTTCATGATGGGTGATTTACGAGCATCCCTGCCCACACTGCACTGAGTGTTCAGCAGTTTGACCAAAAACAACACGATCCCTGTGTCCCACACTCCCTGTTCATGTGATTTCTTCTGGGGCGATTTTTTTTTCTGTTTCCCCAGATGAAAACAGTCTTCAAAGGGAAATGTTTTGTCTATATGGAAGAGGTGAAACAAATAACAGCAGAGGTACTAAAAAGCATCAAAATCAATGAGTTCAAAACTATTTTGAGCAGTGGAAAAAACATCTTGATAGGTGTATTGTATCAAATTGTGAGTACTTTGAAGGTGACCGAAGTTTAAACGTAAGAATAAATACACCATGTAAGGATAATTACACCATTTTTAAAAATAAATTCCAGGGGGTTTTTGGTCCCCCTGCATGTGTATGTGTGTGTATATTTTTAAATCCAGTGACTTCACTTTAGGAGTCTATCTCATGAAAATAAAGGACCAATACATAAGTATATTTATTCAAATGTGTGTTGATACATGGTTTATAGTGACAAAAAACTGAAAGCCAAGTGAATATTTCTAAAAAGGAAATGTTGAGTTAATCATGGTACCCTTACATCATGAAATATTAAGCAACTAGTTTAAAAAGTTGAGTTATAACTACAATAATTAAGTAGTCAACTTAGAGTAGTTTTATGAGATACCTTCATGGGCAGAAACACAATGCATGGAAGTGTGGTTAGCATTGAGACACTTTTTGTAAAATGAACAATGGCAACTGTATAGTACAGAAGAATAGGGAAACAAGCAGAACATAAAGGAGGTTAGTTTGGGTTGAGGGGTGGTGGTGATAAAAAAAACTAACAAATATTTTAAAAGGTGAAAATAAAGTAGCATACATGATATAATCTAATTACTTTTAAAAATATACACATTATGTATGCATAGAGAAACCAGAAAAAATAAAGGAATTGAATATTGATCTACTGACCTATAGGGATGTCCATAATACATATTTTCAGTGGAAAAGCAAGTTAAACAAAAATATATATTTTAGTTAAAACGTACACACCCTGCACACTCAAACAACCCAGAACAGCCAAACCATCAAACTTGCAAAAGGCACAGGAAACGTGAGGCCAGGCAGAATGACTGAAAAACTGGGCGTAATCAGTATCTGCTGCACGCGTCCACCGCTGTTTCCATGGAATCCACAGAGGGACCTCCAGCCAGGACTACAGACAGGAGCCCCTTAGAGCACCACTGGTGTATTGGTGGCCTTGCACTTCAACACTCTGCTGCTGGCATAGCCACAGGAGGACACAGACAAGTTCGTCTTCCCATGTATGTGCCTTTTGCTGCTGCTTGCATCTAATCTAAAGGCTAAGTTGATATACTCGTATTGTAACAGTCCAGCCTAGATCCCATGTTCCTGTTCCATATTTGCCAGAGTGAGTCTCAGCCTCTATAGTAGAAGTCAGCCCCCTTTACAAAAGGAGAGTTTAAAAGATACACAGCCAAATACATGATTAAGTAAATATACCAGTAAAGACCCATGACAGTGTATCACACAAACCACACATCATTTGCATTCATCCTTCCCCCTTATTTACACACACAATGTCAGTGCCTAATGCAGTGCAACATTATTCCTCTCTCCCTTCAAGAGACAGCCATTCCAATACATCAGTATCACCATTTATTTCATCCAGAAGCAGACCTGAGTGATTTTGATTACACATCTGGTTCTGAGATAATTCCAAGTATCATGTTACCTATGGGCAAAATCATAAAGGTACCATTAATGTTACAGTAGGAAGCTGGTTAAATATTCACAAAAAAGAAGAGAGCCAGGCATCTAAGTAAGCAGATTTGATAGGGGGCTCAAGACTTCGAAAATTTTAACTTAAGGTAAAATGTCTAGCAAGTAATGTATATGTTAAAGCCTTTGTTTCAGAAAGTACAGATAAGGCCCATCCTGGCTCCTGGGAAAACAGCCAGCCTCCTGGGGCACTACTACAAGATTACCACCTGGGGACAAGTGGAGGCACCCAGGCCTTTGTGCTCCAGGGAGAAACAGATGACCACTGCCCCTGGGAACAGCTAACTACCCAGGATAGGAATGTTGCGGCTTCTATCCCCTAATCCTCCCCGAACCTCAGAGCCCTCACTGCACCTTGTTTACTCCCTCTCTGGCCTGGAAAAAAAAGGCAAGATGGACTGTTAGGGTATGAACCCACCATCTTCTCAGGTTGACTGCCACCTGAATAAAGCACCCATAAAGATTCAATGGCTGTCATTGCTTATTGGGTTTGGTAGTGACAGGCAGCCCAAACGCCGATGTCTTTTCCAGTTTCAGATTGATTAGGAAGGGGCAGTGTCACAGACCCTCCAGAGGACAGCAGCATCCTCTGCCACACTGACATGGATGCTAGTCCCCCAGTGGGCAGAAAAGGCCTGCTTTCCAATCTCCCTGGGGAACAACTGACACATTCCCCCCTGTTAAGGTGGGGGGTGGGGGAGTGGAGAAATAGTGAGGAGAATGTCCTTCCCTGAGACATGCGCACTAGGAGCAAGAAATGGCCACAAGAAAGAGGGGAGGTTGTCCTGGGAAAAGGGATTCTGGGCAGCACCAGCACGGCCTGGGGAGACGCAAAAAAGGAACTGGATAGTTTTAAAAAAAGCCTGCTCTTGCCCAAACCCAAGGAATATAATCAAAACTTAACAAAGGCCTAAGGCATTCACTCTCCCTCTCACTTCAGCAGCAGTGGGGGCCAAAGTGCAGCACTGATGGCAAGCGGAAGGGAACAGAGGATGTACTGGATTCCCGGGGCCTCAGGTGCTGGGCGATGGCCCTCCTCCTGGGCTCAGTGCGGACAAGCTCAGACCTGCAGCCCCAGAGGCTGGACTTCTTCCACAGCGAGAGTTCCTGAGCCCCCTGGCCTGGATGGGCCATCGCCTAAGCCCTTCCTTTGTTTTTGCTCTGGTAAATCTTGCCACTATAGCTCAAATTCTCTTCTGTGTGTATCTCTGAAATGCATTTCCTATGTTACTGTGGAAGAATCCTATTTCCTTCGGCTACATTAATACATCTTATACCTAACAACAGAGTGCATGAAGGAGAGAAAATTAAAACTTGCACATATATATATGCCAAAGCAATGCAGAAAATACACATAAACTTAAAATAATTATTTTGCAGTGGCTATGAGGTAATAGCTAACATTCATTTCTGTCTTAACACATTTTCTTATCAGGAAGCACATCAATATTGACAAATGGAGTGAATCAAACCATTACTTTTGCAAGATACAGACACGTTTGAATCTTGCCAGTTTAGGTTGCAGCCATTTATTTTTACCTCTGGATATAGTTGTACTCATGCAATGGAATTACCTAGATTCACTGTCTGGGTAGAGGACAAATGAGCAAAATTATGGCCTTATACATTAGGACAAATATTTTGTTCAGTAGGGGAATAAAGGCCAATAATTCCACAATTTCTTGTTGACATGGCAGGCCAGATATTTCTCACTGAGCAGTGTGCTGAGAAGATGAAAGCTTGGTGACCCCTCCCTGTGAAAAGAGGAAGGCCACCGGAAGTCAGCGGCTCCGTGTCCGCACCTCAAAGATCCCGGAGCACGCACCTGGCACTCCAGGGGCATCATGACGTGCAAGACCCTTCAGCACCACACAGGCTGCTGTCCTTCAACATAGTGAAAACTGAACTAGACTTGGGGACCAGCCTAACTCGCCTCGAGGTGATTAGATTACCAGATATGTCTTCGAGGTGACAGTTTCTTCATTTCCATAGGCTTTTCTCCCACAACTGGGTACAGATATGAATTTGCAAAGCATCTGAGATACTTTGAATGTTCTGTGTATCAAGTCCTATTGGTGTGATGTTACCAATACAGTCAACCAACATATTACCCTCTGTTAGTGAGTGGAAAAGTTACTACCAATTGACTTGTTACTGAACAACCAATGTCCAAAATACTGCCTGTAGTAAATGCAAGAGGTAGTGAAAGATTACTCTTTAAAAGACAAAGAAAAGCAAATAGAACCTCTTTGTTTTAATATGGTTGAAGTATCAAAGGCATCATAAAGAGAAAAGATTGTTATACATAAGATATTTACTCCACATACACTAAAGAGAAAATAAAAATTAGTATTTTAATATAGAAAAATATTTAAATCAAGAAGTAAAATAAAAAATAAAGTCACTCTGCAAAAGTCACATGCAGACTTTTCGGAGAATGGAAAACAAGAAAGGCTGAAGACCAACAAAAGCCTGATCAACCTCATGAGTAATCATGGAGCTGTATATTAAAACTACAATAAGATATAATTTCATACTTTTGATATTAGTGAAATAAAATTTTAAAATCTGAACATACCAAGTACTAGCAAAAATGTGAACCAAAAGAGTTCTCTTACATTCTTAGTTAATGTGAAAATTAATACAAACACTAGACCTTCAATATGATTATAGACTTGTATACCCTATGGTCCAACAGCCCCTTTCCTGGAATCTACATAAGTTTTGTACATGTGCATTTCCTATCATGTATGAAAAATATTTATAGCAGCTCTGCTTGCATAGAGCAAAAACAGTTAAAAATTCAAATGTTGTTTGGGAAAAGAAGGAGAGATGTAAAAAGATAGAGACAAAAGAAAAATGTGTCTTATTCATAAAACAGATACCACATAGGTAAAAAAGTGAATAAACTACAGCCATCAAAATCAGTGAGTTTCAAAAACATAACTTTTAGGTAAGAATACTTCTACTGATTCCATATATACAAAATTCAGATAGGCATAAACACATAAGTGGTATACTTATAAAAGAAAGTCAAAAGAAGCATTAGCAGAAATTTCAAAACAGGTATCATCTCTCATAGGGAGAGAAGAGGATGCTGCAGGAGTGAAGTGCAAGCATGCTGCAGAGTTTCTTGTAGTATTTTGTTCTTGCACTGGGTTTTGGTTACACATATTTTGTTATGACATTATTTATATGTGTGTATGTATGTATTTCATACATGGAAATTTTTACCCACAATAGTTGTATTGTCTCTGAAAACTTTTCCAAATTCAAATCATTTATCAGTTGGAGATTGCTATACTAATAGTTGTACTGTTATATTCTATTAAGAACACATTTAAATCAAGATATTAGTCACAACCTCATCAAACTTACAGTTCCTTGTCATTTGCACCTGTCCTACTTTATTGGAAACCTCCCTGCCTGGTTTCAGAAGCTGTAACCCCTAATGGCTAAGGCTGAGTAAAAAGACTTTGGGACCATAGGCCACTAAGGAGACAAAGCTTATCTTCCTGGTAGGGGCACCACCTCTGTCCCCTTTTACTTCACCCTGCTTGGCCCCGGGGGGGATGACTGGTTAGCCAATGATGGGTAAGATTCCTCAAGGGGGGAATGACCTAAGACAGGCATGGTCTCAAAGGGGCCCTCAGGTAAAGACTTGGGAGACTATAGAAAAAGGGGGTGATGGACCCTTACCCCTTGGCTTTGACATAGCCTGAGTCCTCATTCTATCTGTAAGAAGTCTCCTAATCTCTTGGCTGCTCATATTCCCCAACTGACTTAAGTCTGAAACAATGCCAGAGGTGGGTGCAGTCCTGTGCTAGAAGGGACAGGTTCCCCAAGGCGATCAGGTCTAAGAAAGAATGCATAAAATCCTGTGAAGCCTGCTTTGCTAAGAATACCCTCAATTTAAATTATAAGGGTCCAAGCACAGAATGAGTTTGTTTCCCCAAAGTTTTATGGCTCTTTAGCTAACTGACCAGGACTCAGAAGAAGCCAGTCATAGTTCTTTATCTATTGTTTGATCCTTACTGCCTGACAATGACTGGTGAGCTTTACCTGTATTCCTGTGCAAATTGAACCCAATAAAAGCTCTTTGAAGAAAAGGCTCCTGGTCCTTCTCCTTTGAGAGATCGGCCACCTTTCTTCCCGAAGCAGATCAGATCTTGGTAGACTTATTCTCATTTGTGGCGGACAGGGGTAGGGGGCTCTGCAGGCACACTACTACTACTGCACTACTACTACTACTACTACTACCACTACTGCACTACTGCACACTACTGCAGAGTTAAATGGGATGTGATAAAAAAATTTTCATCCTGAGTCTTTTAAATCTCTGATAGTAGTATGAATATCTGTGAGCCTCCCCAAAGACATAGAATTTCTTATGACTCTTTTATTGGAAGTGGGAAGACCGAGGATTTCCACATGGCTCTTCTATCAAAACAGTCTCTACTTTCTCCTGGGTCAGGACAACAGTGTGGAGATTCCCAGTTGCTGAGAACATAAATTTCAGCTCCATGCTCATGACAGAGGAAATAATTGCAGGGTAATTTGACACTCTGCCAAAATGGACTTGATTCAGAGCCCCATTTACCACCTGACAAAGCCAGAGTTTAATAAATTAAAAGTGGTCTGGATATTTTCCTTGACTAGGTACTCTATGGTAGGAACACAGGCCCATTTGGGGAAGAGTAGGAAGAATATGCACAGGACACGCTTCTGATATTGCTGTAGGGTAAAACCCTGTCCTTCCCTTCTCTAAACTGGCACTGAAGCAGTGAACTGACTCAAGCAGGAACTGGCTAAGGGCAATGGGCCTCACGGTGGCTCACTTGGGGCCTCTAGTTATGAGACCTGGTAGAATTTTGTTATAATAACCATGAAGGAAGCACTTTCTGGTTTGGCAAATTCATTTGCTAACTGGCCCATTTTAGATAATCACATTGCTCTGGCTACTCACCCTGATAACCTTTCCCAGCTCTTGTTTGGCAGTTAAGGCCTTACTCGTGATTGTTAAATATTGTAAAAATTAGAAGCTCATTTCAACAGAGTCAGTTCCAACTACTATTCTTGGCTCTTTATGGCGACCTTTCTCAACAATTCTTAGAGCCTCAGTGAAGGTAATAATCAACTCCCTCAGGGCACATGGTTTGCCCATGAGTGGTCAGGCTGCGTGCATATTTATGATAAATCCTCTCCACATTTCCAGTTTCTCAAGTCATTCCATTCCTTTCCCTATGCCTTGGTTCAGCAAAAGCCACTGTTGAGTCCAAGTGTCAGTCACCCAATCAGTAAGTAAGCAGAGTGAGGCTACTACTATCATCTGACCAGCTAGCACACTGAGTGCAGAACTTCTGAAAAGGGCACATTGATAACTTATTCAAATAGTTAATTACATTCTTTTCTCCTTGGTCAAACTCTTTTGGAATTCACTTTCATCTGACTAAAGCTAATGGGGGGTGGGTCATGGAATGAAAGGGAAGGAAGGAGGCTTGAGGGGAGTCACTGAGAAGAACTCTCCCTCTTTGAAGGAGAGGTCTTTTGGATCCCCAAGCAAGACAAGAACAGCCTCAGCAGACAGGGCAAGGGGGGTCATTGTTTCCTGGGTAGACAGATTCAGTGTGGGGTTAGGGACTCCGGCACAACATTACCGATATCTTGCCACTAATCCCTATTCCATTTCTTAGAGCTCTGGGGTTTTTTTCTAATAATTTTCTAATTTATATGAGAGTACTAGCAAAAGAAGAAGTTTATCTGATATTATAACTTAATAATCCACATTCAAAATATGTGTTTTGTTTTGTGCTATTTTATCCCTGTTGCTACAATAAGACATTATTTTATCATAGTCATAGAATGTCCCTAGGCTTCAGTGTGTCTTTATTTGAAAATGTGCAGATTTCAGATTCCCAGACCCTGCCTGTAAGTTTTTACTTGCATTAGAAATTGCCATCCCCTCCCACAGACCTCCCATGACCCCATCCACAGAGAAAACCCAATGGAAAGCACAGGGAGGTCTAGAGTGAAAAGACAGCCACTTAGCCTCCCTCATATGGATGAAAGGTTTTTTCTAACTTCCCCAGGCCAAGGATCTGCATTGGAATT